TTTGCTGACCTATTTGCAAGAGAGTAAGAATGCAATGGTCACTATAGTCTTTAACCAAAGGTGATCGAATATTAAATTGAAATATATGTCACTATTCAGATTACTTTTGAAAATAATTCAGTACTAAATTTACACTAAACCAGGAATAAGTGATAACTCTTGGTAATATATTTATATTTGTTTCGAAATGGAGCTAACTAAATAGTTCGACTGGCTAAATTTCTCTATTTTAGCGATATCATGACCAAAGGTGATTTAATTAACTGAGGCGGATTGATTCGCAAACTAACTTAAATGCTCATTCTAATCCTGGAATGCATCTCAATAAAAAAATTACGCTCTGCCAATCAACAAATTTTACGTGCATATACGAGCAAGGTAAAATCAAAAAAGCCATAATAAATGAATTCCTAATGAAGGGGGAAAAGAGGATGTTTACTGTAGTATCGTGATCATAATTATTTCAAATTGATGCTCTCCATTATCCTAGTCACAAGGGGTAAATTAACACTGTTGAAACAAAAATACAAATCTAGAACAAGGCAGACCCGAGTGTATGAGAAGTTAACTAGACACTTAGACTAGGAGCGGAAGTAAATTGAGATGGGCAGATGCTGGGCATTTGCTCGCAAGGAAGAGTAGACTTTATGATTACAGGCAAATTAATTTTGATTAAATTTAATTATGCGTGGTCAACACCTGAGCAGCCGCCACGAAAGGTTTCCGCCTCTGATGATTATTCCGAATCTTCCTATGGGGCTTTCCTATATTCGCAAAAGGGAATGCAGCTGACGTCCCTGGTTGCGGATTGATAGGTAAGGTATACGATAGTGAATTCCGTTCCATAAAAAGCGTGCCTAGAGGATGACTTATTTTGTTTTGGGACTTCTTTTTTTCATTCTGTTTAGATTGTTTGGATGATGAATTGTTTGAACTTTCCTTTGCTTTTGATGGCTAAGGCTCGGCTGCAATGCTTGGGCTTCAACCGACCGAGTATCAACAAAATAGATCTGCTGTTGTGCATCTGGAGCCGCAATAACTGGAGGTCGTAGGGTTGAATCATTTGGCAAAAGCTGACTAATTAGTATGCTCCCTAAACACAATGTCCGCGTCATGTTTTTTAGCGAGGTAAATCTGATGTGGTGACAAGGTTGTTGGCCTCAATAAAGCTGCCTTGCCTGAAAATTGGCCTCGATAGCGCGGACGAAATGACTGCTTAGGCTCCTGAAATTGCTGAATTTGTAAAGATTGCTTTTGGTTAAAGTTATTTTGCTGATGTTCTAGTTTGAACTTTTTATAAGGTCCCTGGTTAAGCTTATAGTGAGACAAATGCTGATTTGGTTTAGGACGTTGGTGCTGGTTGTTCGGTTGTTGAGGCGCATTTCCTTCTGTACCCTGTAGCCGGTCAAACCCCGTTACGGCCCCTTGGCCTTGTCTAGATGGCTTAGAAGTGCGTCGCTGAGGGCAATTAGAGGCCAAATGGCCGGTCAGGTAACAAATATGACATTTACGCTGCTCGCCAATTAGCTTCCCTCTTTGTTGACCTATTGTCTTGTCATCTTGTCCAACGACACAAGTAGCATCAGTCTCGGCCAGTTGACTCCCAGTTGATTGGTCAGGCATCCGCGAGGACTTAGATTTAGCCAGCCTGAGGTGATCAGGCGAGAAGAGATTACTGAAAAGGTGGTCACAAGAAATGAAAGAAGAATATCATATTTTTGGTCCAAAGTTATGAAATTGAATTCAAGTGGTTTACAATCAGTTTATATATATATATATATATATATATGAGAGAAGCTTCAAAATATAATTAAGACCTATAATGAATGACTTAGCATAGTGCATAGTACTTTTGATGGTATCTACGTCATAAATGATAATTAATAAAACATTTAATTGGCTATATACTGAGTAGAAAGGCTTGAATAACAATGCTTACCTCGAGGCATATTACCAAGCTCTTTCGCTGATTTATACAAAGATAAAAGTAACATAAGGATGGATCTCAGAGCTTATATTCAATTCATCCTATTAGACGAACTTATGCATTCTATATGCCACTAGTCAAAAACGATTGATAAAGTGGATATAGAGAAATAAGTGGTTAATTTGAAGAGCTTTACTGTAAATATAAAATCAAATGGACACAAGTTTTGTACGCAAAGAGCATCCGCAATCTTAGCCTTATCGCTGAGGGTGTAAAGAGGAATGCTCTCCATTTGCTCAATTTACAGATGCAAGTCTTATTTAACCCCGTCCCACATGATGGTGAGTGTGTACATGCAATATAACAAATTATTAGATCTTTTAAGCTAAGCTCGGCGGTTTAAACAAACAATATTTTTCTTTTATACTAATGGAAACTTATGATTATCAGCCTCAAGTAAGCAAAACTGCTAAATAAAATGTATAAGCATAAATTTTTACAAGGCAAGTCACTCAACACGCAAACTTCACGAGAAGTGA